TTCTACCATAGTCTGCTCTTTGCTTTCCAGATCTGAGAAATTACTGCGCGAACCACTGAGCATTATGAAACTTACTCATATCTCATCTTCATGCTATATGGCCTTACATTTAGCCCTAACACCCATGAAACCAGACCAGTTTTATCTAGTGCTGACGTAGATGGTATCCAAACAGTACTTGAGCCAAATTGGATGTTTTTATGCGCTTCAGCTCAGATGTTCATCCATGGAACGTGCACGTGAAGGCCCGTGTCTGAGTAAACGAAGTAAGATTGATCAGACTCCGATCCACTTCTGTGCACGTATAGGACTGCCACCAACCAATAAGTGAATTATAAAAACCTTACCCTACTGTGTGTTCTCGTATTCCCTTACACTGGTCTTATTATTGGTGTCTGAAGCAACAGATTTTGGACGGATATATCGGCTATTGTCTCCCCGGCTAAGCAGACAGAGTATAGAGTGACCGCCAAGCTTCTCTGTTCCTAAGGAACAGTGCAAATTAACTTTGGACCGAACCATTTCGCTCTCCTACTTGGAGAACACTTCTCGGATGTTTCTGTCTAGGCTTGGGTAACCTGACAGCAGCTAAATCTTCATGTTCCCATCAAATTGCACGACAGCAATACGCCGGACGGTGTCAGCTGAGCGATTGTCGTACAGTACCTGAATTATCCACGCTGGTTGGTTAGTAGTTGAAATATCTTCTCCTGAGGGTTATCACCATTTTTGATTGTTTGGATGTTAACGATTCGTTATTCTTCCGTATTCAGATGGAATTACGAACGAAACACCCGTTATCCAAGGGCAGAACAAGCAGTCGGAGCAGGTTTGTGCAAAAACAGGCGACATCCAGAAGAGTAATTCAGAGTGAGTTGTAGGACGACTTTTCCATTCTAAACCGGCTTCTTCGGAAGGAGCCCACTCTGCGTGACATTAACATGTCTAGCATTCTAGATGGGGCTATTACATCAGGATGTAACGCTACTGGGAGTACCCTTCAATCCCAACGGACTATGCTATTTTTCGGCTGTTTATCACTGATGCAAGGAGCCTGAAAATCACAATATCCAAACAGGATAAGAGCTGTTGGTGAGCAATATAACTCCGAAAGAAAAGTACCCTGGCACCTAATTCAACCTTCTTACTGTTGGACCGACTGCATATTCCTGTTATGATAAAACAATTTCCGGGAGCTCGTGGGGGCACTGCATGGTTGGCCAATCGTATTACTTATACCCTGAGTTCAAATATGAGAAAGTCGGTATTGACGCTCTTGGTCGGTATTAGGTCCCTTTCAACAGAGATGGCTCAAGTTGTTAGAACGCAAATTTACTGACCGGAAGGTCCGTGGTTCGAACCCGACCTCTGCCTCTCGACTTCCCGTGCATAGGCTCGGGCTGGCAGTATCCCAGCCCTCGTGCTTCCTTCGGATGGCATGGCAGCTAGGCACCGAAAGGGTGCTACAGCTGGACGATTTTTTTCCTGTCAATACCCAGTTTTCCCACAACCATCTCAAACTTAATGCAGTTCACTGCACCGATTTGCAGAGCATCCCGAACGTTTCACGGCGATACAACGAGTCCGTGATAACATATTAGTTTGTATCGCCACGCATCAGTACACGAGGTCGTGCAAACAGAAACGTGGCTCATCTGCGTATCGCTTTATTTTTGTAACAGTTGATCAGTGATAAATTGTTCCAATGCGTTGTACGCACTGTTAATCTGTTCAAGCCGTTTTCTGCATCATGTGACTTCTCAGAGAATGTCACCGTTTGACAGTCGATGTTTGAATGGCATTATGTCTGGAATGCTGCGAACGGGTCGTTATAACGAGTCTCAATGTTTTGTGAATGTTCGGGGTGCTGGTGTGTTGCGTGTCAACGATTTGGGGCGATTAAAGTAGATTGCGAGACGAACTCTGTACGCCAAGCCATTGGTGAAGCATTACTTGCGAAACGCATGCGTTCAATCCACTACGTTCAGTACTCTCTGTAGCACACGACCGGTTTAACTTTACAGTCAATTCGCAACACCTAGTCGATCACTGAATCCAGAATTTCAATTGTTTCAGCTGATTCCACCAACTGCACCATTTTACTTCGATTCGTCTAATTGTGATAGAATGAAAGCTGATGAGAGTTGAGCGCAATCTAGTATCTTCTCGTATTTATCTTCTTATTTTCTGGCCTCGGATAAGCAACTGCGAACTTCAGTTACTCATAGGACCGCTCTTTATTGAGATGATGACCGGCGTCAACGTATCATCAGGTGGAAAGGAAAACAAGTCTGTATACTTGTTATTCCCCATGTATGTCGCTGATGTCAGTGAGAGGATATCAGTGATAGTAATGCCTCCTTAGGAAAATTAGTGTGAAGTGAATAAGATGGAAGATATACTCCAGCAATACTGTTTTTTTTTTGCACATCCCGAAGGTGACCGTTGACCGTTTGATGGAGTACTTTGGATGTTCTTCTGAATGCTTGATGCTGCTAATTGGTGGAAACCATCAGTGATATTCATCAGAAACATTTCTAAAGAAATTGACTAATGAACCTGGTGTCAGATTTGACGTTTTATCAAGTATGGTCCCTGTGGTGCCATGAATTCCCTGTATCGTTGTGGTACTGTGGTCTGTTTTCACGGACGTGAGTATCATCATCATCATGGACCGCATGACATCAGTGTTCAGCACCGATGATTTGCTGCCGTGCAGCCATGATTTATCTGAGAACCTTATTGTGGGGAAAAGAATAAAGGTGGACGGTGAAGGGACTTAGTGCTAGCTTACTACAATCATCCCGACGTGCCTACACCTCCATACACTCATTCAGGCAATCTGGATAGAAAAGAACAGCAAGATCGCCACTGACATCGGTTGGCAGCCATATCTTCTAATGTCTCTTCTAAGATAAGCACAATGTCGTCTGTATATTCCAGCTCGACAGGGTTTTCGTCTCAGGCTATATAAGCACTGGGGTTTTGGAGACCTTCCAGCGTTTGTCTCATGATTTCATCGATCACGAAGTTAAACAGGAATGGGTAGAGTGGGTATTCCTGACGAACATCACTTTGTGTATGGAAGCCCTTGGAGAGCTCGTCGTATACTCTCGTCCGTCCGGAAGTCTGGGAATACAAAGAGCTTATTGTGTCCACAAACCTCGGGGACATTCCTTGCTGCCCAAGCGTGTGAAGCAGAACAGACCGATCAGCCGAGTCAAATACGGACGTGAGTAGCCGAAACACACAGACATTACGATGACTTTTCTAATTACAGGATACTCACTAGCGTTTCACTACTGATTATGGCACGGGGCCAAAATAATGAACCCTCCCCGTAGTCGTTGTTGTTTTCTTGTCCTTTTTTTGAGATAGGTTTCATGTTGCTATTCCGTACTTGGAAAATAATTACTTCATTTGAGCACTCTTCTATTTAATTTTCAACTTCCGTACATTAGTTCGTCTGCAGAGCCTTTAACCATTCCCTTCCCATTAGCCCGTAATCGTTGTGTTTATCACACAAATGTTGGAACACTCATGAGCCACATCATCTGGTTGGGGGTTGACCGGAACCGGTGACCAACCGGGAGCCTGATAGTTCATGTTCAGTCCCAGATGTGTCCTTCTGTTCCTACCGCACACAATCGGTGTCTATGTTTGTGCTCTGTACAAAGTATGTATTCATTTATCTTTCTTCAACTGCAACGGGTGCTACTCACTAGGAATGCTCTTGATACTCTGTCGTCGTAAGTAACTTAGTGGTGACCCTTCTGCGGTCTTGTCCGCGCTGAATTCACTAAGTTTTGCGCAGTTGGTTAACGGATTCTTTATGGTTACGATTTCAAATACTCCACATTCCACAGTATTCTTAATAGAACACAGTAAATGCTTACTTCTATGCAAGCCAACCAGAAAGAGGCCAATCATGATCGGCATGGTGAGAAAAGAATGAGTGTGAAGTTCACAAGCAAATCCGTCAGTAGTTATAACTCACGAGCACACACGGATCGTACCTTGCACAAATACCAAAATGGTAACGAAAACTTCACACAATCCTAACCCACATCGTGCATGGTGTATGAATTTCATTATCGGGGTAACAGATTTTTTCCACGTTCGTATGTTGCGATATTATGGATTTTCGTTCAGTTTTGGTCCAAATGTTCGTTTGTGACCAACCAAGACTGTCGCAGACTATCGCCAGTAGTTCGATCTAGGGTTACGCTGGAAGGCTTCCTTTGTTCTTTCTCTGATCACCTATCCTTTTCCCGTCTTATCTTTATGAGAGAGGACTAAAACTACTCACGCCTGACTACCAGTGGCGAGCTCCGCGCAGATTGCTGCCAAATCACGGACGTCAAAGATAGGTGGGATACCGAAATTTTGGCTTCATATTTGGCTACAGTGACGCACGTTTTCAGCTGTGTTGCGGTCAGATCCGCTTGTTCGGTCTTGTTAAATTGTCAACTTATTGACGGCGGTATCGAATACGCAGACGTCACAACATATGGATAGTTGTTTATGAACTGTTATTCCAAGTGGTATCTAAAGATTTCCGTTTCCAAACACTTCTATTTTTACACGGTTGCCCTAATTAGCAGATCTCAAATCTAATCTCATGCTTGGCTCTTCTCGGAGCTCTCTGGAGCAGATGCTGGACCATGCGTGGCTTTAGAGTTGGGTAATTTAAAATGCAGGGTAATGGTGTTTACCGCTACAGCGTTCACAAACGTCCCATTCAGTTGAGTTATCGTTTTTGGGCTGCTTAATACACTCGTCTCCCAGCGGTATCAGTTCCGTTCGACGCTTGACTGTCGAGTTCCCAATCCTGGAAGGCGAACACCACTAGCCTCACCCAAACATTCCTCATTCTCTCCTGCCGTGTCATATTTTATCCAGTTCTAGGTTTCCTTCACTCCGAATTAGACGAGAGGAATAATGCCCTTCTCGATAGGCAGTTACTGTGCATGCGTAACAGATGACCCAACCAACTTAGCCGGTTTCGCTGGATACACTTTCTGCGTGAAAGGCCTTCTGCTTCATCAAAGAGTCGTTTCTTGATCACCTCACTGCAGATCCACTGATTCCAGCCGATTGCAGCCCATATTTCTGAAACGTCAGTGGTTGGGGACGTGGAGATATCTGATAACCTCTGCTCACCTCTCGCAGTCATACAGTGACGCTCGCACTGTAGTCTCATTCGCGCGTCCGTTGAGACCCAGTGATATGCCTTTTTTATGCCGCAAGGGGCATCAATTGGTAACCGCAATTCCTGAGTTGATTTCGTCTGCCACGCTACCAACGAAGCTAATGTAAATTCCAAGATACTTGAAGCCTTCAAAAATTTCCGGTGTCAAACCTTAAATCCCTGGAGGAATGTTCGAAATCTGTACGACATGACTTCATACTATCCGTATGAAGCGCATGTCAAAAGATTGGATGACCTTCGTTAGCTTGCGCTTAATGCTCATTTAAAAAAGCAGGACAATGTCGTCTGCATGTTACAGGTCGACACGGTTCCCAAACGGAGTGATCTGAACTCCGGGATTTTTTAGCCCTCCAGAATTCAGCTCACTGCCTCATCAATTACCAAATTAAACAAAAATGGAGAGAATGAACATCCTCGCTGGACACCACTGCTTGCAGGAAAGCTTTTCGAGAGTTCCTCATGTACTGTCAAGTGCCCACTAGTATGTGAATTCACTCAGCGTATGATATTCTCCAACTTGTTGCACAAGAATTTTGAAGAAAAAACGTACCGGTCAACAGAAAAAAAATCAAGAACAAGATTGTAGGTACCTATACGCATTCCGTTGTTTTAACACTTGATGGATTGTGAAGATGTGGTCCACACATCCCCTTCTCCAACGGTATCGTACTCGTTCTCGAGTTCCATCTTCACGGCACAGCAAACTTTATTTACTGGATTGTTGTTTAAACCATCGGGCAGGTTGGCGTGATAAATCATGAAAGTCTGAGAACTCATGTATAACGAAACTGTTCCGTAACAATGCGGTAAGGTAAACTTGAGACGTGTGACAGCTTTAAAAGGAACCTTGTCAAGCTGGGCGTTTTCTAATTAACACTTGGAAAGTGACACGATGTCCCAATAGGTCCCCTTTGCGTGTGGGCTAATGGAGCCGACCTTTACATGTGGTAGTCACGTACATGTACAACATATGCTGGAGATGTAGGTCTGATCAATAAGGCGACAGCATTCATTTGGGACGAATAAACATGAAGGCGGCCTCCTTGAAGCGCACTTATGGGGCCGATTTACAACTAGCAGCGTGCGTTTGCCGACATGTGATTCCCACCCGTGTGCTAAGAACTAATGCATGCGAACTTAACCAACCCTGCTTTGTGTTCGTCTGATCCCTGGCTTTCTATTCATTTGATCTCCATTTGTTAACACCCCTAATTAAAAAGTGTATCCACCCTTGAAACTCACTCCATTCAAGAAGTTTGACTGAATCGGTAAATTCTTTGACTGCCTGGAACCGTTCAGCCGATGGCATACCGCAACCCGAAAATCAATATTGTTCTTCACTGAGTTGTCTCTGCTGCATTTTTATGACTAGATGTATTCCCAGAAGGCCAGAATCTGTAAACCTCTGTTAATTGATGCTTTCTGCTATTAAGCTCCAGACCTGGTGAGTCTGTCTAGTGGCTCTGCCGGCGTCCCCCACTGCCGTTTTATCGTGTCACGTTTTCCAAGTACAATGCCCTCCATTTAATATGAATGCTCATAGTGTTGAAAGCGTTTTCAAAGATTTGACCAGAGCTATAACCGGCATCAACAACTTCGTGGGAAAGCGATCATAAGTATAAGAGGCTTCATCTGAAGAATACCTCCAGAACTGCAAGCCTTGCCGGTTTGATCGGGTGTTAGTTTATCGCTCCAAATTCGGAATACCGACAGCCTAGAAGTAGCCAAAGTATGACTCAGTAGAAGAAAATAAAGGATGGTTCGGAAAGTCATGATGCTATCACTGTGTTCTATGCTAGGCCGGAAATTCTGAAGCTAATGGTCGTTAGCCAGTGTTAGTGGCGTTCGGGTGTTTGTAATTTGCTAACACTAGGCCCGTTTTTCTTTGTTTTTATTTCAGTACCTTATTTGAATAATTTGTAATTATTGTACCAGACTACATTAGCGCTGGTTCTCACTCAAGTGTTCCAGAAACTTTTCCTCCTACTCCGTAAACAGTCTTGGTTGGAGGCAGACTAACACATTCCGTTGAATTACGCTGAACGATCATGATTGATTTTACGATTCACCTGAATTTGTTGAAAGTATGTGATACTTTCGATCTCGTTTACTGGTAAAGTTACGTATTCTCAGCGCGTGCCGTGGGGCCTTGTTTCTTGCGGGTTCTACTGCTGAGATTCGACTGACTTTCTTGTTGCCTGCGTATCTCAGTCGTCTGCTTTCGAATTTGTGACATAGACGAAATTAGTAGTGGGTCGCTGAAGTTTTAATGCCTGTGTATTTCCTTCGTTTACGCTAGTTAGGTGAAAATCCCATCGGAACTTGCAGTATCATATGGATTGGAGATAAGTGGATTTCATCAAGATAGAACTACTAAGCTAATTGTGATTCGTCTAAGCCTTTAGTACTTAGTGTTCTTTTTTCTCTCGATCAGAATGCGGTTTGTCTTGTTCTAATAAGAGGCTACTAAAAAGCACACATTCCAGTATATTCTCTACTGGCTGGTCATACACAGCCGTTAACTTGTGGCTGGATTCCGGCATTGTCGCCTGGATGGGTAATATGTGGATGCATGCTATGTATCTGCCCCCATCGTATCTTGTCGCCTAAACAGGGTTATCGCCTGTTGACTACCGCCTCGGAATTTTCTAGACTCTTCTGAAAGAAAAAGATTCGGAGTAGTCGCTTGTGCTTAACATTACTATGGTTATTCTGGAGCGAAATTTCTGTCTCTTTTCACAGCTGTCGGTCAGCTACGCATCCAAGCTTGGTTCAAGATACCTCATCAGCGGATGTTTTAGTGACCCTCTCTAGAAATCCGCCTATCCCTTATACGGAACAGATTACCAATGAGAGCATTGAACATCAACTCTCCGGTAGTGAGAAGGATACGGATAACAATCCGTTGAGCTTCAACCTTTCCAAATCTCCAAGTAACCCGTCTTTGCATGCAGAACTAGATGCAGAATTAGATGCGTTCTGCAGCTCAGTTTCCGAGCAAATGGACACCACGAATCAAGTTGGGTCTGCACCGGCTTCTAAAGGGAGCTTTTCAGACAGATATGAAACATTAATTTCGGAGGATTCCTGGTGGTTATATCGTTGCCCAAAAGCCAGTTCAAGTGACATTTTACGCTTACAAACCAAACTGGATGCCAAAGGATCAGAACTTGTCCCGTTTGTGACGTTCAATGGTACTCCGGGAATAGCAGTGTGGCAAGCAGATGGTTCCCATCCGGACTGGATACTAGCGCCGCCTTCTTTTGGCTCAGTATATTCAGTAAGTAGTGTTCGATTGGATATTGCACTTATTGTTTGGTTTCAACTAGCATCCGATGATCTGTGTTCCTCTTTTTCCCTCCAATACTCTCCCTCTTCCTGTGTATCAAGTGCAGAATCCGGGGCGGAACTAACCTTGTTGTTGGTTAGACTTAGACAAAGACTAGGCGGCTCAGTCCACTGCATCGGTTGAACGCCAATAAAGGATAGAGCGGACGTTTATCTGGCTACTTGGCGGCAAAATCGTTCTATGCTGGACACCAGAAGTTTAGAGTGGTGGTATTAACTGATTGAAATTACTACGCTCGATAAACACTGGACCGTACCAAGTCGGACGACTAGCAGTGAGAATAAACGTGGTTCACACCGTCTACTTCCTCTTTGGATCTAATGTACTTCAAGTTTGGGATTGATTTACATCGAGCGGATGTGACGAGTCCAATCGCGGATCGCACGAATACATCCTAGACCATCATCATTGTTATAATTGACAGCATCACTGGTAATGAACAACACAGCCCCGCTGCCGTTCAGTTACTCAGTGTACAGGTGGATCACTGCTGTATGTCTACAATGTTTGGTAGAGGTCTTTTGGCAAAATAAGTTCAAGAGGAGACTCAGGTATCCTTCGCATAGCAGTTAGATGTTGGACGTATCGAGGCTATTGCAAAAGTACTTTTCACTTGGGAGAACCCTTCTGCCAACTGCACTTAGTATCAGCAACTCCGCAAGTAAGTGAGCAGAGATCAGATACGTAGTTGCAAAGCTAATACGTTCGTTGTATATTATTATCAGCTCCACTAACTGTCTTGGCGTTGTCGCTGAGACGTTTGGGATCTTACGTACGTGTGTGGACGTGAAGTTGATTACCTTGTCTAAAACTCATGAAGGCGATTGCGGATGTTTGGAGTCTGCGTATGCTTCCAAGTTTGAGTGACGGTCCCTGAACCAGTCTGTACGAAATCAGACTAGATAGCGCGTTATCAACCTCAATTTCGAGACGAAATAGCTGTCCACATATTAAATAAAGAGTTTGAGGTGCATACCATCCGAGCCAAGTGCCTTGGAAGATTGATGTTGCACTCTAGATTTCTCCTGTTTATGGTGAACTGGTGTCGATATTCCATTCGGACCCACTGGATTCTTCCAGCGATTGTGTTGAAGGAGATCAGCTGAACTGCCAGACATTTTTGTCGTTTATGACAGTTCCGTGCGCTGTCCTACATGCTTTATTTCTTATGTTGATTTTTTACTCGCAACCTTGCGGTATCTCTAATTCAGTATCCTCCTTTTCATTTCTGTTTTGCATAATCACAGCTCAACGTTTCGCCACATGGGGATCTAGTTTGGTGTCTCAGACCACCAGTAAAACAAGCAGGGTCTTTGTCCGGGTATGCAGTGGACGTTTTCACTGAGCGTAACGGACTACACTCTCTGTGCTCTTCGTGGATTGCCGGACAGACAGGTCGTTGGGAATCCAATGTATTGCTCAGGGTAACGAGCTTGGATTTTGGGAAGTCATTCGCCCTATTCACCACCACTTCAGGTACTGTAAAGGTTAGTATTCCAGTAAAAGGAATCGTCAGATTTTTGGTATTGTGTGTCTCCTGTTGATTTCCTCCTAGAAGCTGCCACTGAGAAAACTTGTTTTCGGCCTTTTTGGAAGAACCATTCTTTCTGGTGGTTGACAGCGAATGCAACTGTGAACTTACTTGGCCACTCTTCGGATGATTATCTTGAGAAATTACGTTAGTTGGACTTGGTAGTGTATCGTGCCCTATCAATATCCAAGTTAAAATTCAACGGATGAAATCTGGGTCGTTCGCTGGCTGCTCAATTCGTCCCGTTTGTTATCTTGACGCAACACGCATTTTTCTTCCAGTTTTATCGGCCCCTTACTTCCCCAATTTATTTACACTCTTCTACAGGCACAATTCGGTCTGTCATCTCGAAGGCCCTACTGTCAGTCGTACACTTGGCCCTGTCCCGATCATCATCTTTTGCAAATTAGCGTCTCTGAAACTGGACTTGTCTGGGCCTTGGCTTTGACGAAGCATACGGCCTCCGCAGATGATTCTCAGTTAGATTTCTCCATGGAAAACTTAGTGAGTTTGTCTTCATTCTTAGTGTGCACTCACCGGTTTTTTTTGTTTCGGGAACAGATGAGAAAAAAGATTATTGTTCAGTTGTAACACCCTTTCGGTGCCTAGCTGCTATGCCACCCGAAGGAAGCATGAGGGCTGATATACCACTAGGTTGCCTAAGCCTATACAGGAGAAGTCAAGATGCATCGGTCGGGCTCGAACCGCAAACGTCCTGGTTAGTAAATTCGCGCTCTAACCACCGAACGATCTCGGAAACGAATAGAGTTGTCGTCATACCTCCTCTGGAGGGAGGGGTTCGATTTTCAGCGCTGCTCTGTCCCGATTCATTTAGTTTCTGGGGCGAGTGTTTCTGTACCGATCTTTTGACCTGGGTTATCCTTCATCCCAATCTCCTGGGTTGCTGGCTCTTTCAGCCATCATTTAAATATTTTCGTACATAAAAAAGAATGATGGCTCTTTTCAGTCAAGATTTCGTCTTGCAACTGAATTCAATCTACACCAAAAATCCGAGACACTGTACAGCCGTTTCATCTTTACTGAGCGGTCCGCATCTCACAAATATCGAGGATGGTTCGAACCCACAACATCCCGGCTAGTAGTTGATACTATACCTTTCGGCCACGACCGGCTGGTCAGCACTACAGTCAGCTCGTTCTTAGATGGGATATAGCACCACTCCATTTTTAATCACAGAATCACGTGTTTGCTGGCTCCTCAAGTGAGTGTTCTTCTGATGAATGATACACTTCTCTGTGAACGTTTCTTCCAAACTAATTATAGTTGGTTGATATTAGGGAGATAGCTATGAATTTTTAACCGAGTTTCTTGAATCCAAAGCCCTACTTTGCAACAGTCCCGGCCTAAACAGTATCATCAACACGGTCAACTTTCTCGTCCTCCATCTCATCTGTTCTACTCCTCACAGGTCTGAATTTCCCCTCACTCTGACCTCCTCCACATTCAGTATCTAGGTTACTACTGCACTCGGTTTTAAAGGTGTGATTTTTGCTTAAACTCATTTCTCCTTGTCCCCCCAGTGACCTCACTTGGTATTTTCACACCGAATTTTCAGTTCATATGACGTAATTTTTCGGGGTGAAAAAAATATTTTTGCTGTGTTTGTCTGCCTCCAGTTTTGTATTTCGAATAGTGTGTTTACGTATTCCGACAATACCAATGGTAGTATGCTGCACCTTAGCCCTCGCTTTTCCACGTTTGCCCAACATCCCTGTCAACGCTGTGCGCACAAAGAGCTGACCCCATAGACGCTGGCTTGTTGATCCCTCCCTAAACATGCCCTGTTACCAGGTGATTGCTCACAATTGCTGTCATCGATAACGTTAAGGATGTCCGTTACTCATAAGGTAGAGCAACTATCCGGTGCCCACACCGAACCGTTTCTTCTGGTATGTTGCAAAAGCTGTTGACATTGATTTCCGCTCACTCACCTTTCCTGCCATCCTTGAGTTTTAAAGAACCATTGAATTCGTTCCATATGAAAAAGCCGAATTTTAGCTCAGATCCATGCCTGAAGTTCAACCACATTTTGCCCCAACATTTGCCTCGGTTTATCCATCACTCCTCAGTCATCTCTCTCTCTATTTGTGATTACCACTGGGACCGTTTACCAGTCTTCTCTCCTTGCACAGATCAAACTTTCCTGGTCCGGTTCGAATCGGTTCTGCTTCGAATTTATGGTCTATAACTGAACCCTGTTGTCGCTCAATTCTCCCTTCTGTTATCATCCACTAGTGTTTTGCCTCATTCCCAGAAAATTTCACATGTGCTCCCGATTCCCAAGCGTGGATTCCTCCCTTATCTGAAAAACGAACGCCCCGTTGCAAACATTCCCACTTTATCCCAATCTCTACAGTCCATTCTGGACGAATTTCTGCTTGGTATTGAGTGCAGTGTCCTCTTAAGCGACCAGGAACATGGACTTAAATGCTATTGCTTTACTGCTGACCTATTCGCATATGCCCTCACGTGGTTGTCTGACTTATGCTCCTCTAGCGAGGTCTAACTGGTTTCGAAAGGTTTCGAATGCGCGTGGCATCAGGTCCTCGACACCCCACTCATGTATGGTATGCATCCTCCGTTGGATTACGAACTTCTTAATGAATGAATCTCCCCACGTTCACTTCTGCTCCGCCTTCCTGAGATCCCCCTTATGTTTGTCGGAGTCCCGCAGGATTCCTTTCTACCCGCATACTTCTATTGTTCATGGGTGATCTACTTCTTCCGTCTTTGACTTGATTTTTCCATTTGCGGGCTATAATGACTTCCGGGACTGCCACTCTCATCGACCTACATCGTCTCAGTTAAATGATGACCGCCTGCAAACCATCATAATGCTTAACTTATTGGTGTTCACCATTGGAATTCCAATTGCATCAGGCCTCTGCTGCTGCACCATACTCTATCCATCGCACGTCATACTCTCCTAGGTTTATCATTCTCTAACAGTTTTTCTTGGTCGTCTCATGTCAAGCATATCACGACTTCAGCCTTCAGGGAAGTCAGGTTTCCGTCTTTCTTTTCTCCCATTTGCTCCTAGTCTAGAATTCGTAGGCTCGCCACACCATGGGATATTATTGCCACATATGGAGTGGGGGCCCTCTAACTGACTTTAAGTCCTTGACCTTGGTGCAGCCAAAAGTATTGCGTGTTGTTATTTTATGTACGCTTATCGGATTTTCGGGATTATCGACTTCACCGTCATGAAATTTATGTTCATTCCTTGTGCGTTTGTTAGCTCTAGATACCAATGTTGACTTCTAACCCCCGAACGTTCTAATATTTATCCTTCTGGATGAATGTTGTGTGTATTTTTATGAGACATTGTCAGGCAGAGTTTCAAATCTAGGATGTATTGTTTCAACCGAAATCGCTGTATTTTCAGCCATTTTCGCCATCAATGGGAAATTACAATGGCTAAGTATTTTTTCAGCTAGGCATCTAACACTCGTCCAAGCAGTTCAGTTGCTTTCTTTTGATGTGGGTTTACGTAATCCCACCTGTTCTATCAGCCCAACGATTCCGAAAAAGCGATACTATAAGCAAATAATACTCTCACCCTCTTCCTCTTTGTAGTGTATTCTCATGGCTCACATACCCGAGGAACTGCAAGATAACACTCAACAAAATCCTTCCGTCATTGCGAATCGTCTACGATCCGCATGTTGGTATCCAATCCTTCTACCTGCGTTGCTTGAGCCTTCTTTGCAGCATCTGTTGCGCAACACAACTTCTCTGGAGCAGCTCGGAGTTTCTGTTAGCCGGGTTGTACAACTGGGCTTCTCGCCTCAATCTAACTCATTTCCAGGTTCCTCAGAACCGGAATCAACCTGCTATACATCGTTGAACGTTGGGTGGCTGTTTGTACGACCACCAATAGCTGAGCTAGACACATTGCTCTCCGTCTTTCGGTCGAACGAGGAAATTGATGATGGCATACTTTACGGCTGTGCGTTTTTCCTACCGAATCTGCGATTGTATTACAAGCCCGATGACTCGAATTGGTGCCAGGTGCGCTTGCTTTCATTCAGTACATTTTAGACACTTTCATTCACTTAGTTACAATGGAGAGATGGGTAGTAGATCAATAGATGTGAGCAATTATATTCACTAGGTCCGGTATATATGACTGGGTTTCGGCGTTTCTTGTCACAAAAATGCCCAAAGAGCTAAAAAAAAGACGTATCTGAGCTTTCATGAAGTAGACTTTGGTTAAGAACATATTTGAAAGAAATTCCAGTTTGCTGTACGCAGATCTCAGTGGATAGAGTAAGCACAGTTGTGAACGGGTAGAATTCGGTTGACGTACAAATGTGTACATGAAGATTGGACAGTAGCAAAAGGTTCGATTAGCATGTTGATTCCAGAGGTGCCACATTGGGTCATGCTGGTCACGCTCTCCCTATAAGTTATCGGCAATGTTGGACGCGTAATAGGAGGGTACACCATCTAAGAATCTGTTCGGTGTATTAGGTGAAAAACGAGAGGGGGTGCGTTTATGGAAATTGTAGTGGATGGTCATCAGGTTAATCTGACACGGAGGACAGGTTTGAGCAGACAGCGTCTAGTGTCAGTGGAAAAAATAGAACGGACCTCCGCGACTTTTTTCGCCCTTCAGCTCGCAATCAGGTCGAGAACGTTTGCGAGAAGGAATGCTTACTGAATCGTTCAGTCGTGAATTCTTTGAGCCGGTTTCTTTTCGGACCCAGCTGCAAATCGCATGTCTCGTTTAGAATTAATCTGGCGCCATCCTTGATTGAGATGTGATGGGACACTATTGCAAGTATTTTCCTGATTTCCGGAGCGAGAGAATTCATGGATTCACCTCTGGAAAGACGGGCCAGTCTTGTGCATGTGGATTAAATAATGTAACCCCCACCCCCCGAAGCACACTCCTTCGTTTAATGTGTATTTGTTTGAAAATAACACCAAAAATACATAAGCCGCATGTCATTAAGATTATCCTTTTACTTCTGAGCACCAGGTGATTTGAGTTTCACTGTCCCTCATTTCTGCAGGCCCCCATTGGTGGTTTCGGAGGGAAACGTCGGTCGCAAAAGTCTTTAAAGTTGTTTAAACAATCAGGTATGAACGTTTTCCTCTCTGTTGGTGATTTACTCCCTTATTTGATTGCTGATTTTTTCCAGACATTTGACTTAACGAATTTAGAACACTTTTATATTATCGTCCTTTCGCGCATATTTCATTGTTTTTTTTCATGATAGATCAAGTTTACTTGATCACAGATCAACTGGCTGTTGTGCAACAGTTTTTTAATCTTGATGAATGTTTTTTAAAAAGGAATTACGAGTTTATAAAATCGACACAAAGGACCCCCTGGTCAAAGCCCTACCAAAAAGCTGAAGTCAAATAGTATACCAGATCCCAGTTTGTATTCATGAAGTGCGCATCAGCTCGATCTTTGAAGAGCTGGTGGTTGTGAGATCTTTGGAATACCAAAGGTAAGTTGTTCAGATAAAGAGGGGAGATGAAAAAAGATGTCCGATTACGACTATTCGGAATGCACTGTTATACGTAAGTGTGCTAGTTTCTATCAGCGTCGGATTTCGTACCAGCGGTAGAATATACCCTAAATACGTGCACCTGAACGGTGAGTTTTTGCACCGCATTACGGACTTCAGCCTAAAAACGGTGTTTGAGGACACTGTATTATTGCTGGGTTACACCTCGCGCATGACCTTAGTATTCCAGCAAAAGAAAGTTTTCGGATGAGACCTTGGAGAGTAGTAGTCGTGTACGTTTGAAGTCGAAAGCCTGCCTCATTAGTATATGGGGAGTTTGACGGGGCTGAGAGGTTGCTTAAACACCTCAGTCCGTGGACCTGAAGGGTGATTGGGGGATGTAAATGGATCAAAAGAAGATGCCTTGAGTCGGGCAGGAAACGACGATGGGGAAGGGAAACATGACGACAACTAAATGGATTGAACAGCATCCTGATGGGATCAGTACTTTGTGATGCGACTTTGGCGAGATTGTCACTTAGTTGGAGGGTGGGACGAGGTTGAGAACAGCGAAATTGGGTTCGGCGGATAGCGTCATCAGCCATGGGAGCTTGAGTATGTGACAAGCGTACACCAGTGAGTACTTAATGCAGATGGATTACAGTGGAGCACAGGCTGTAGTCTTGCGTACAACAGACACCGATCACCAGAAGCAAACCGCGCTCGATTTCGCCGAAACCATAGGGTTTTCGAAGTGGAGGATTTAACAGGGAGTTATTCTAGTCCAACTGTACGTTGCGTCGCTGCTCGCTTAAGTGAGCGAACTCTCAAGGTCACCAAACAGTGACGATTTGTACGCACCTCCTGGTTTACCAATGAAGCATAAATCCAAAAAGTTGGGAAATTAAACGGTTCATGGTGTTCTTAAAATCGGAGATAACTTTTACCTAATTTCCAATACAAAGCCCACCCAGATGGATACTTGAATTACATCTGGATCTGTTCTTGTCCGATGTAACAGATTGATTGAAATGGTTTGCAGAAGCTCGACACAGAACCGTTGTTTGCGAAGCTTGCTTCTCGTCGTTAATAATTTTTGAAGATATATTGTGCAATATGGACGCCACTGTGCATCTCTGTAAATGGTCTCCACTCTCAGGTATACGCAGTTATTCAAAAGGAAATTTGTGTGTACCTTGCAGCCACTGGTGAGAAGTCTCCCCCGGTAGAAAGCTCGATTTCTTCAGAAAAGACAACAAGACTGCCGAAAAATGTAGTCAACGATGGTCCTTCATCAAAACTAGATGCGTTGTCGTTTACCTTGGTTGCTTATCGTAACTGTTGGGCTCGTACTTATTCGCGCCACTGATTAGGATGCCTTAACTATGCATAATATTCTCATCCAATGGCCAACGACAGCCCTTCACCATCGTAACCGTATGTTTTGCTGCTGCTCTGTCACACCCGCGCCTCCGAATTACAAAACCACCGTTGGTGAAGTACATGTTTTTAATTATTTGATGCACCGGTACAAGCTTAATGGGTAGTCACTTTGTTTCTGGTTTTCCGTACATTACTTTCACCGGACAATGATTCTGAAACGGAAAATCTTCGAAGAAAGTGCTTAAGATTCCTCAAAGTTATAGAGTTTAATTGACCAACTGCTGAACTAGCCCAGTTGTCGGCAATGAAAAATCGGTGTCTACACTGACGTGGTCGTGCACATTTTTGGACGCGGGCGAAGTTGAATCCAAAGTGTGGTGTATACAATTTAATCGTAAAAAAACTATTTTAATTTATAATTGAAACTTCATCCCAATCACCATTTCAGGGTAGCAACACAGTCGGGTGAGGGGCCCTGGAAAGGGCCTTGGAGTCATTCACCTCGTCGTCACCTCGTGATTCGAATGCAAGTTCCAGTTCGTGTGTGCATGTAATTAGATTCAAACTCACCTGCCTCAGTCTGCTGCAAAGTTGGGCAGAATAGCCTTACAAGACACGCCTGGTTGGTTTCAATGGTCCGATCGAGCTCCACATCTTAGCATGACCTTTTGGGCGATCGCTTGCTAGCATGAAGTTTGTGTTTACGGGCGGACCTGTGACGAAATCCAATGGTTTCAGTGGTACACGGGCACTCATCTGTTGGATGCGACTGCAGATCTCCACGCAGTGGACAAGGCTCGTCTTCACGGCAGTAACCTTGATGTGATAATCGGTTCTTCGGACACGAGCGATTAGTAGGGTTGCTAAAAACAACCAGATGAAGCACACCTGTGCTGCTAAGTGGCACGATTGTAATGCATCAAATATCAACTAGTTTCCGGGATCAGAGTCAATGCTTATGAATGTAGTTAGGTGTGGTTGCTCCTGAAGTTATCCTCGTCTCTTTCATGGCATTTATTCCATACTGGGTGTTTGTGCAGGCAGGCTGTCTGCGTATCATCTAGAGCAGGATGTAACTGTTTCTACGGGTATTCCTGCACAGTACTTTATTCACATTCGCCCACTTCGTTCTACTGCTTTGGTGAATCGCTGCTTTCTAGCGCTGACTGAATTCTTAATATCTCCGCTGTCTACGTTCCTTCGGTTTGGTGACAGCTCTACACTAGAGGGGTAGGAGTCTGAACAGTTTGACTATCAGCATTCTGGTTCTCAAGAAGGGGGGCTGTTGATCTGTTTGCAGGACCTTGTGGTTGACTTGTTCACGTTTCGTCACCAATCATTAGGGGCAGTGATGAGGAATTCTCTTTCATTTGCAGAAGTCAACCGTTGTATTGTGGGTAGGCTGAAAACGGTTGCAATAGTGATTCTACCCGATCTCATAATCATGTTCCCTTTTGGTTAACTAAAATGAAATCCAGCAGAGTTCTGTAGAGTTATAGTGATGGACCTGTGCAACTGAATTGGCTGTCGTTGACAATCGGCTGTGTTTAGTTTGAAAAGATGCCATTCATGAAAGTTTTTCGAGTTTGTTGAAAGTTCAGGACGGCTTCTCATGGTCAACATACATCGGTTGAGTTAATCAGCGTTATAAATGTGTACCCTCATGATTTGCTTGCTGCCGAATGAGGCCACCAATCCCATTGTTTATGAATGGGCAAGTTATATTTTTTTAATTTCTAGAACATGCTTAGTTCTCGGTGCTGATTGCACTCCCTAACTGGAGAGATTATTGCCCGGGAAATGTTATTCCTCGTTTCATCTACAAATGGGGTCGGCTGCATACCGAATTTCTCTTTTCCTTATTTTCTGGTAAATTGTTCAATTGTGTTCTGATATTAGTATTCGATATTCTTTGTTTCAGCCAGTCCAAAGTATCGCCCAACGCTTATAAAGTTCCCTGCTCATGTGGTCACAAACTCCCCAAGCTACAACCTCAAGACTCGCCCCTCAGGCTCATTCATGGACTGCAGTCTACCAATGTGGCTTGTAATTCAACGTCCGTTTAGTGGTACCACCATTCTCGCCCGTGTCCGTGAATCATTATCCGTTTACCAGTGGTCTAAACATCGCGTTCACGTGCAAACTATCCGATCGGGCTCTCCACTTGGGGATGACTTTGTCCATTGCCAACATGTTTGGCAACATCCATTGCTGGTTGAGATTTCCTTGAGGGAGTCAGTGCATTCTTCTGAGGAAACTGCCTGTTGTTTATGGACGGTGAATACCATTTCAAACGAGGTGAGTGTTGCGTCCCATTTGCACTTCTGGTTGGCTAAATTACTTTACCGCCCCCGACACGTATGGTAGGTTTGACTCCGCTCCGCAAATGTAACGTTTCGAGGGTGTGGTGTAAAGTTGTTTCCTGAAAATTACTTGGCGTTTGTTCCATGTCATCCTTATTTTGAGCGTTGTATCACTTTCCATGATGACGTTGGTTCGTCCGTTTCTATGGGGTTTAGTCTACCTGACACCACCAAATTCATCAGTGTAGCAATCCAGATTCATTCTGTGGTTTAGACACCATGGTCTTAATGTTTGAGCTTGCCCCATCCATTCTGTCGTTTTACGTTAAGCAGCGTTTCAACGTGTTCTTACTCTTCTCCATATTCAAGCCCCCGGCGAATCGTCCGTCGTTTTCTGGTAGATTGTTTTTTTACTAGGGTATCTTCTTGTCATGGATTTGTGCCACAAACAAGTGATCCGGATTCTTTTACTTTGAACATCATACTGACTTGTTTGATAAGCCGATTGTTTTATCTAAAAAAAATCGTTCAGCTGTAACACCCTCCCCATGCCACCCGAAGTAAGCACGGGCCTGGGATACTGTCAGGTTGCCCAAGCCTAGACAGGGAAAGTCGAGAGACAGAGGTCAAGTTCGAACCACGGACCTTTCGGTCAGTAAAGTTGCGCTCTAACCACTTGAGCCATCTCGCCCCCAATTGCGGTATCTGCTGAATTCCATTTGTCAGTAACGCGACCTTAAGGGGCTCGAAATTCCTAAATGTCACTGTTTCCTACCCCGTGAATACGATTCGCTTTAGATTCTTCGGTTTGTTTCGGGCCTCCAATGCACTCAGTTTACCATTGGTAGTTGTTCTGCTGAAATCGCCAGCCGTGGAGATCAATCTGATGAATGGGCGGAAGTGTTGCCAATGTAGAGCAAGACGACTTGACTAAAATGCCTCGGACGTTTCCTGTCTTATCAGTTGTCGAATGTGTTCAAAAGGGTTAAGTAGCGCTAGATCAGCTTACTGTTCCGTACAGAACTGTTTATCGATTGGTTTGAACTCCAGAAAATAGGCTGAATTACTGTAAGATAGCGTCAATCTATGCTGGTTTCAATCCACTCAACTCTGTTTATTTGAAATTTAAATAAGATTTTAATCTCAAGCTCATACTCCAAACTATATCTTTTATTAGGTTGCTACGCTGACGCGTGGATCATCTGATATCTCGCCGAATCATAGTTCTTTGTAGCAAAAATCCAGACTTCGCCATCAAAGCATGTCGAAAGATTCATGATACTGGCTCATCTAGACGCTTTCCTCACAACAATAGCACAGTTTTGTCTTTACTGGTATTTATATAAGAGTACCCAGAGAGAGCTGAGGCGCGAATTAGCTGGCCAGAAGTTTTGTAGTTCGAAACCGATCCGGATCCTGTACTACTGATGTCTAGGTTTGTACAACTTGGCAATGTCTCCGCTCTCGTCCTTCCTCTTTACCGCTCCAGGACAAGAGGTGGACTTTTCAAAAGATTAGAACATGAAGTCTATAAATCCCACTACCACGTACGCTTGAAGATGCTCATTCTGAATTAGCAGAATACAGGTTATACTCTTCCTGACTTCGGTTCGGGAAATGTATAGGTTGCAACCTAACGACTGCTTTGTAATGGTAATGTCGTTACCGTAAGTTATGGTTATATATGGCGATCATTTTTTTCGTTCTCATTGTTAGGGGTGGCTCTGACGCAGTTGGTTAACTTCACTTGCTCCATGCTGTACTGTTACCAGCGAGGTGTCACGGTCATTCATACGACGCACTTCCTCACTCCTACTCTGGTTCTAGACAATTTGTTGTCATTTGTTCACGTTTCTATCTATTATTTTGATCCACATCACGTGACAGTCATTGTTTCAAGCGAGGCAGTCAGGTGTTTGAAATATCGTTTGAGCTGTCTACTATTCAGTGCTCATGTAGCGTCCTCCCTCTGGATTCGGAATGACACGCGTTTCAAACTATCTTGATTGAATAAAATGTTAAGGAAGTCCCATCCTGCTCGTTACGATTAAATAGGATATCAGACAGATGCAGAACTCCCGGAAACAGGAGAAATCAGAACTCCGAAAACAATAGTTTTTCGAGTTGCCGCCAATGGAACCACTATACTTTGCTTTTTACAGATGATACAGTTAGGGATGTTGAGTGAAATGCAGCAACCTCGCATTCGGTGAAGCATCAAGATGAATCATCTGTCTGGCTGATGGTTATACTTCGTCTCTTCTTAATGGTCCATGAAGTGCTACCGCCAAACTAGCCATTCCAGCTAAACAGTTGAGCTCATACATTCTGTATTTCTGTCAAACTTTTCCTGAATTTAAGGTTTGTTCAGGAGGGTAATGCCGTTCCCTTTGAAAAAATATGGTAATAAACGGGAGCCTGCACTTCTGTACGAGACTGTGACCATTTACTGTAGTTCCCTGAAATTGTGGTTGGTTTTGTCAGCTTGGTAGGATAAAGCTTTGTTTGTTTTTGAAAGCTGTATTTCCGCCTGTTATTTTGATCATTATTTTGCGTCCACGAGAAAGAAAACTCAGTAATACCGGCTGATGGTATCCACTGTCTTTGTTCACCATTTTACAGCTATTTTGCCATTTCGGTTCGTCCTACTCGAAGTCTTTGGCTATACCGGCTGTCGATTCAGGACCGAATGCAATTACTTCTCTCTGCCTGGTTCCAGACACTCGGATCGGTGTTTTCCATCTACTCATTGCTACAAGTAGTGGGAAACTATGCTCAAGAATCGGTTTGTCTGCTTCCTCTCCAACTGGAACGTCGTGGGTGTCGGAAGTCCGCCCAGGTTAATATTTATTATTTGATTGTATTTCAGTGATCCCATTATGAGTTACCTGAGCGTTTAGCGCCTGGAATCGCGTGTACCGGCTTATGTGCCCGAAAACATTAGAAAAAAATGCGGAAAACCAGACATGCAAGGCGCTGATAAATTGTCTGGTATTAAGCGGCAAGGCATATCGGGAATGCTTTGCAGCAGTTTCACCGACGGTCTGATATTGGCATCTACAGCTGTGCGTCAGTCACGCAGTGCAGCATGCAATGCCACTACAAAGTATCAAACCGATCACGCTGTTTGCCAACCGTCACTGGCTATTTAGACCTTCCCTTTCTCGCAGAATGCTGTAAAACCTGTGAGGTGGTTTTTGTTTAGCTGGGGAAGTACGTGAGAATACCATGCAACTGAAGATTCAGGGCTAATTTGTGAAAGTCGAACGTTGTTAATAACTTTTTGCATATGGAATACTCCATGGATTGTCGTCCGTGTATCTGAGAAAGTGGACCGGCAAATAATAATGTGAGCGGATTTTTCCATGGGCACGGGCAACGTCACATTCATTGTTACGTGCATACAAAGAAAAGTGATGGGTGAATGATTGAGAATAAGGAACTGCACACCACTGCCCTATCTGCGAGCACCTCCAACCACTCGTTTGATGAGTGTCTGGTAACACACTCCACTCAGACGCATGCACCGGTGCATCTGTGACCCATTATCATTTTTTAGTCATCAGGTAATGCGTTGCTCCGGAACCTGCTTCAGCAGGTAGGGCACGACGAGGCAATCGACTGTCAGGTTGACGACGTCCATGTGACCGCCAGCGCATTATTCAATACATTATCACTATTCAGTTCCGTCGGAGTCCGGTGGTACTCAGAAGGTAGATGCTGTACGCAGTCGCCTTAGGAACCAAGGGGTAATGCTTTACTTCCTGAGTCCTCGGGCCATGCCGGCCCCCTGCAGCCAAGTTGGTCAGACTATTGAATCGTTTGCTCCGGGAAGGTTCCCTCTAGAAAACCGTGACAGCCGCTGCTCAAGGTAGTGAAGTCCTGGTGGATAGTTTGACAACCATACAGAGGAGGATCTGAAGGAAAACGAAATACCAGTCAGAATGCCGTCATCACAGTTTTCAAAATGGGCGCAAAAACCTCGTGCGAAGGCTATCGTGGCATCAGCAGACTATCCATCAAATCTAAGGTGCTCTCCCACATTTCGCGCAGGTTAATGGACTATCGGGAGAGATATATGCATGAGAATTAAGCTGGGTCTCGCCCTAGCCGAGGATGCATTGACCAAATCTTCATTTTGAGGCAAGTTCTTGAACAGTGCCATTCCTTCAAGCGTCCCAAATTTGTTCTGGAGGCAACGTTTCACTCTGTCGATCGTCAGAAACTTTGGCTGTGTCTGGTGGGTTATGTACGCGATCTATTGTGGGCACATACGAGTATACGGGAGGCTTCTGGCTGGGTTCACTACGTCAAGTGGTGTAAGATAAAGCTACTCTATCTAGCCTTTCTTCCTGATGTGTTGCTTCAACTTTGTCTGCCTGTGAAATATCCAGGGTCGAAATGTTCTCGGGAAGTTCGCTCACAGACATTGAGTATGCGAACGATATTGCTCTGCTTGGGTGAGATCCTTCAAAAGTGCAAATTATTTTGAATAGATTAAATAACTGCCGCACGGTTTGGCATACACTTCGCACCTTCAAAGTGTAAAGTGCTTCTACAAGACTGGGTGGCATTAAACCCAAACCTTATGCTTTCAGACCAGCCAATGGACATGGAAGACAAATTTATTTATCTAGGTAGTTGTATACGCTTCGGTAGACCGGCTGGAGGTGAAATCACTTTTTGAATCGGGAAGACGAGGGCCCCATGGCGCCCATGTGACGCCAGTTTACCTGTCAAGGGCAGAGATTACACTGCGGCAATGAGATCCATACTGCTTTATAGATCAGAGTCTTTGCCTCTACGGGTAGAGACCACAAGAAAGGTTTCAGTGTTTGACCACCAATGTCTCCGAAGCATAGATCAGGTCTAGTGGGAACATCAGATTAGCAATAGTTGGGTTCGCCGAATGTTTCTAGAAAGAAATTCTCGCGCGATTGGTAAACGACTCGCGGTTCATAGATTACGCTGGTTAGGACATGTGTTCCGCATGCCAGAAGACCGACTGCCTCTCAGAACCCAGTCCTGTGCTGAGTGGAAGCGACCGAGAAGTGGACAATGTCCTGGCGACGAAGAGACCACAAGAAAGGTTTCAGTGTTTGACCACCAATGTCTCCGAAGCATAGATCAGGTCTAGTGGGAACATCAGATTAGCAATAGTTGGGTTCGCCGAATGTTTCTAGAAAGAAATTCTCGCGCGATTGGTAAACGACTCGCGGTTCATAGATTACGCTGGTTAGGACATGTGTTCCGCATGCCAGAAGACCGACTGCCTCTCAGAACCCAGTCCTGTGCTGAGTGGAAGCGACCGAGAAGTGGACAATGTACGACCTGGCGACGAAGAATTAAAACTAACCAGTAGTCTTAGTTGAGTCGACAACTGCTGCCTCTCTAGATGTGGACGCCAGTACTCAACTCACCAATGATTAGTTACACTGGTAGACATGGCCAAATCACGCATTCAATGGCGCGCTTGTATCAAAGTTATCACCTTCATTGCGCATCTACCTAATTCCTAAAGTAACCAAATACGCCATTGCCTCCACTGCTTGACCCCTTGGCTATATGTCCCACGCTGTTCCACTTTCTGGTGGTCCAAACTGTAGCATTTGGAATCATTGTGCCTATAGCTGATAAATTGAATTTATTTGAATTATTTTGGAATCTTTCTCGTTCTGCTATTTAGCACGATTCATCTTGTCTGATTTAAACTCTTCCAGATTCGGCCACCTTACTTCTTTCATCTTGTAGGACGGGCAAACGAAAATCAGCTGCTGCTGATACCTTTTCCTGGCTTCCACTGATTTTCGCTTTCCCCATATTAATAATACTTTTGAACCATCTATTGGGACTCGTCACCCTATTTGTCTTGGTTCACCGTTAATTGCAACACAATGGCGTTAGTTGGTGCTCACAGTACTGAGAATGTGTAGCATGGCTGAGAAAAAGTGCTGCAGAGGTTGCTGTCTGATGACAAACCCCGCGCACTCTAAATTCTTCACTTTTGTGACCGGTTAGATTATAAAAGGGATTTCAAAAATCTTCGAGATATTTACTGCTGATAAACCTGTCGTCTTCGAAGAGAAAAAACGACACGAAAGCTTTTCAGTCACGTAACATCCCACCCTCGTCTTAACTAGAAAGCATTAATTCGATCTCAATAACCTTATTGTGTTCCGATAGTTTGAATGAATCTCCGTGTGCCCATAGTAGGCTGGCACAAGGCTCTTTCTGTTGATGAAGGTGATGATGAGTGGTGGCGTTTGAATAGATAATTGTTGGTTAATCAGTTCCTTTAGGCTGCTGTTTTCTCTGGTGTCACTTTAGCTTGTGTCCTTGTGGCTCTGTCTTTGTGTGCCCTCCTCTAATGTCTGATCATTACTGTTAGATGTCTGTTGGCTCACTTACGACCGTAGAACCAACTGTTACGTCAGTAACCTGTTCCATTCAAGGTCAATGGTGATGGAAATATTGGATTACTATTGTATGGACACCTCGTGTTTTCAAAAGCAGGTAATGTTTTCCTATGATTTAGTTAAGCCCAGCTTTTTCAACCCTTGGCTTCCATTTGCTCCCTCATAGCTTATTGGGAAAATCCACCAAGTGACCGGGGCGTCAACAAGGATTTGCCTATATACTTCACATCGATGGCTTGTGCAGGCTCAGAACTGTGGGCCACGGATAACCTAGGAAATCTATGCTCCACCGTGGTCCGCTTGACGCATGGAGTTTCTGGTTCGCCGCGTTTGTTAACCCCACTGTGGACTACCCATACATCAGGCAAGTTTCGCTTAAAGACACTGTCTTTCTTATTTTGATGACCGTTTGTTTGGCTGGGATTGTCGGTCTCCTTTCGTTGAGTGGTCTCAGTGACTAGTACGGCCGCCTTTCGGATTTTACCCATAGCGTTCAGCTGTAGCAACCTTTCGGTGCCTAGCTGCCATGCTACCCGAAGGTTGCACGAGGGCTGGGATACTGCCAGGTTGCCCAAGCCTAGAAGACGGGGGAAGTCGCGAGGCAGAGGTCGGGTTCGAACCATGGACCGCCCGGTCAGTAAATTCACGATCTAACCTCTTGGATCATCTCGCCCCCAGTTATACCTATATAGGGAATACTGTCACCGAAGACCGAATGTTCTGGTGCAACGCATCTCTTGATGGAAGTACTCTATCTAAGCGCTTCTTAGTACTCTTCACGGCTTCTGTAGTTCACAACAGGATGTACCTTCCATGTGATTTCGAAATTGGATCACAGGAACATTTATTCACACTTCGTCAATGCGTATGTGGGCGTAATTTACGGGTCTACGATCTACTAGAATGTCTTTACGACGGGCGTGTGATTATTCAAGAATATTGGATGCTCTAGGTGATTCTCTACGCCACTGTTGTTCAATGATTTCATCTAGCTTTTTGTTAATAGACTTAAAATATAGACATCAGCTGTGGTTAGAGTATCGAGTGTATTCATCCAAGGAGCTCATCTTGCCATCTACATAAGATCGATATGCATGGCTTCTCAAGGTACCAGCTTTCATCTTATGTAGGGAAGTGGAGGTAATAATGGGGACTAGGTCTGTAATAGTTTGCATCCCGTGAGGTCTCACTCGTCTTCAATCGTTTTATCGTGGGATCTTTTCCCGAAGACACTGGTGGAGTGGATGTTTTGCATTCTGTTTCCTTCTTATATCCGTTTGCTTATACAATGTATCTTCTCATTCCTGACTTCTGCAGCTTCGACCTCTATCTCATCCACTTCACCTAAACCTAACATATACTTCTTGTCGATTGCTGCCGGTGAGTGGAACTCTCGGGGTCTTGGTGTTAGCCTATGGGCAATAGGTTTGCCCGTCGGAGAAGCTGGAAAATACAACGTTCCCCTCCGTTCCAACTTGAACGAGACCGCTACCTATCCGCCAGTTTCTGGTTTACTGTACACACGTTGCTGGAATCCGAAGTCCAATACCTACTTTTGGCTTCATGTTCCATCACTGAATGCGCGTAGGTACGTAGTGCCGTTTGTCCTTTTCTAATTTAACATCACAGGAACAACGCTTGTGGAATCCCATGCTTATTTTTATGGTGAAACTGTTCTTCGTTGGGCAAGTGCCGTGACTGATGTGATTTCCTCTGAACTCTCGGCTACGTATGCTATATATATATATATATATATAGGCGCAATTTTATCCTTTTTAATAGGTTTTTAACATTAGGGCTAATATACCGGATCATCTTCAGCATCTCACTTGCCAACCCGAATATTTATTCACTTGGGATGGCAAATTGGGGTTAGAATTTCTTTCGGTTTATCGATCCATAAGTTTCTGGAATGCTAGCTAACGGGAATGTTGCTTTCAATCGAAGCCCCATATATCAAACCGTTTCTGGAGTAACAGAAAGGTGGCGATACATTTCAACAGAAATACGCACAGCAAATGATGTGTATACTTTGACGGTCAACAGGCTGATGCTGAGCCTTGGTTTTACTCAGCAGTCCGTTTATCAGCGATTACATCGTAGGCGTTCACTTCCTGGAGATTTCGAATGTGGTTGCAATTGTGCGTTTATTGGTTTTCAATCACGAATAAAATTCTGTGTGCCACCATCATCGCTCAATGAAGCCCTGGTGAGTATATTACACCGCGGAGACTGCGCGCCGAAATGGCTGATGGAAACCGTATAGCTATTTTGCATGACAACCAACCAAAAGTTGGTTCCACTGTTTCTTGTATGTAAACCCTATGCCCCACATCTGTGAATGATGTAAGGCAATGTTGTAAGTAATGATTGGATCAAGAAACTATACTTTGATATCTCGTTTATGAGGTGGCTTTCAGGCGAAGAATATTCAAAAATCAGGGAATTCAGATGTGACCCCATCCAACACTAGATTGATTTCCAACTGAGTATATTTCACCAGTTACGTGCACTCACGTTTTCAAATAGAGTATAAGGCTGCCTGGAGAAGGGCGAAACCCGTATTTGCTTGTCAAAGAGTTTTCAGCAAGCTTGTACGTAAAAATTTATCTTAAGGAAATGTTTCCATATCTTTGGTGTTCACTGTAGTTCATGCATGATCTGTCTGGATAGACGGGTTCTTGAGTGTAGTTATTAGTTGGCTCCTATATTTATGTCCTATATCTTTCTGGTTTTCACAACTTACCCCTGAGCTTTCTCCCCCATAACATTAACGTCCACTTACTGAAAGCCCTTTAAGTAGTTAAGAGCAAAAGCCAACTTTAACATCTGTTGCGATGTCAAGAAATATCTCAGCTGTTTTTTCTGTTAGATTCGCCACCAGCATGTACTTAATGATTCCTAGTGACTCCTCTGGAGACCTCGGACTCACCCTATTCCTGCCTACTCCTCTCTGTCCGACTGTAAATATGTTGTTTTATTCAGACGTTTCGAATCCGAATGAGTTATTCTAGAGTATACACTGTTTAGTTCGTGTTGAATGAGTCCATTTGATTTATGCCAATATAATGAGACTACTATTCTCATTCTACCTCACCCGTTATTTACAAGCGTCCACGTGACTTCGAGACGCGTTTGGATGTTGTCTTCTACTCATCCGCCCCAGATATTCGTGCGACAGTCTGATGGCGGGAAGACACCCGAATTTAATCTTCCTGGGCCTACAGCAGATCACGTTGGACACTCCTGGCAATCTGTTCCTCTTCCAGACCCCCTTCTTCATAGAACGAGTGTGGATTGTATGTCAGTTTGGTCATGCTCTAGAGATATTTTTTCAAACTCTGCAATCCCTGCATTCGATCTGATAGCAATAAGTCAGACTGGTGAATTACTGCGACTAAACTTGTTGCCGTCGTTAAAGTTTTCCGAGAGAAAGGATCACCACCTTCGGGATTTAACTCCTCCTGCTAACAATAACTTGGTTATGCTGACAGAAGCCGGGGATTTTTTGGAAAATTGATGAATTCGATCAGCTCCTGCTGCAACTTGGCAAACGTTCATGTGGTGCATAATCAGTTCGCGACACTTTCTCATCTATTTTTTTTATTCCGATAGCGTTCTGGACACATGATTTGTTTTCTTTTTCATAGCTGAAGTACTTTTGAACCTTCTGTTTATTATTTTTTTTTTGGCATCATGGTTATATATTTTATGCTGGACGACTTATTTTTCGTTAAATGTACAGCTTTCACTTGTGTTCCTGAGATCTGAATCTCTATTAGGTTGCCTTATATTTCCAGATTCGTTCCTTTCACTTTGTATCGGAAGTGGATAATGGTTAATGAGAATTAAATTCATCATTTTGATTACTTCTGATGTCGTGCTATCCTCTGTAGAAGTTCGTTCCGAGTACCACTGCTCAAACATTGCACGTTCCATCCATCTCGTGACGATCGATTTCCAAAAATCAAAACCTAGCTGGCTAATACAGGTTGAGTTTGAGTTCTGACACCGCTTCACATCCAGTCCGACAATGCGTGCGTATGTGAATCATGAGAAGATCGATAGGATCCTATGGTTTGGTTTGGGCAAATAAGAACTGTTTCTTGATCTATTCATAGTGATTCTTGGTAGAAATTCAACGTGTGGATAGAGGGTATCTGAATCCAAATTCGACTGATTTTTCATCTCTGTGGTTCAAGCAAACACGGACGCTTAGATTAACATTTTACTTATTAATCGCTTATCGGATGGGCTGTCCACCAACAACTCAACACGCTTACTTACAATAGTGTGAAAATAAGAGCACGTGAGATCGTGTGCTCATTATCATATAAAATATAGTAGAGACTCTGGAGGTAACTCCTCTAGTCTTTCGGCAGATGCCACGTACTTTGCTTCCGACAACAGGTTTACTTAGCTATCCCCAGGTCAACACAATCCTCGGTGCGCTAATTTTTTTCGCTCGGGGTCAATACGTTAATAGGTTGATCCGAAAACTCATTTCTCTCAATTCTAGATCGGTAGCGATATGGCAGTATTGACACAAGTAATTATTTGGTGATCAATAACGCGACCAAAATTATCCGGCGCTAATGGATGACTTCCGCAGCTGAATCGTTTTAGTCGCTTTGTGGTTCGGTGCGTGTTGAGATCTAGTGATCGTTTACGCGAATTATGTATATGAACCTCATGGTCGGTGAGATTTTTAGATTCTGTATGTCAGCATGTCTCCCTATGTTTTCGGGACCACTGTTCTTCGTTGCCTGCTTCCAGTTTAGTTATTCAGCCGTAAGACGCGTTCGTTTCGAGCTGCCACAATTTAACTGATAAAAAGACAATTTAGGCGTAATGGTCGTTAGGTTTTTAGGATAGATTGAGGTTGGGACAACTTGATGTTGAAGTTGGTGTCTTTTCTGCCGGGTCACATTTGTATGTATCGCTTCTCCTCGCTGCCTCTCATCCTGGGAAGTCACAAGTGCTGGGACCGCTGATCGTTTACATATCTTAGTGACCGCGTTTCAGTCGCTTGCATCCTGCGTACGAGGAGTAAAAAAAGTCCGACGGTCCTCTGGCATAAGTGTATGGGCTAACCAGCTCGGCCTTCATAATTGTCTATCCCACGATGACCTGTTCCCATAGGTTATCCGGCGCACCTCAAGAGATGTGATTTGATGCCTCGAGCAGTTCTACGCGAAAGTCGATGGCCAGTAATCAGAAGCCTTCGTATTTCTTCCGTTTGCAGAGGTAGATTTTTTAACCACAGAACCCTGTGGATCGCCCTATTGTATTGTATGTGCCACCCTCGGCAGGTAAGTTGATGTCGGGCTGATGTCATAGCTACTGGGTGTTAGAAGCTACTGTTCTGACTTTACCAACTCCATAAGTGGTTTCGTCCTGTAAATGCACCTTATTCGCGTCTGTCTGATATACCAGGATAAGGTTTAGGTCGCTCAAACACCATACAACCTGCTGGAGGATTTGCTTGAAAGACCACTGGGTTACAATGTATTTCCGAAGGGTACGACCCAAGACTTGCAATATCTTCTATTTATTCTTCTGTCAGCGCACACCTCTGAAGCACTTCGACCTCCGACATATTGAAGATAGATGGAGAGGCGTCAAGTAGCACTTGAGGAGGATTGATGAGAGGTAGGATAATCTTGTCCGTAGAGGTAGGCAACAGCGTGTTACGGAACTAAGTTGTAAAGTGAAGTTCAGCTCTACTGTACGGCAGCCTATCTGTGGTAGTATGAGTTGGCTACCGTATCCGTGTCGCCATGTATTGGGGTTCATATGTATCGATTACCCATAGATATGTAGCCTACCAACTCAGTAGAGTTGTCTGATTGCCCCGTTCCGCGCCTTGAGTTAGCTTTGACAGCCGTGTGTATATTACTCCTGACATATTAGTCAAAAGCCGCCGAACTACTACATACTTAAGTTATATCATAAATTTCTTGGTTCTGGTATTCACCGCCCGACAGTACGCATATGAAGCAGCAGCAGCCGATGGTTGGAGCTACTCATGCGATAGCTCACGTTGATGAAACGCCATTATACCACAAACAGGTAGCAGTCGTTTCTTCTTGGGTCTGATAACTGTTTGTCGGTTTGTTTCTGTCCTGTTGGAATTTTTTCGCCCAATTCCTCATGGATACACACGGTTATGCACTACTACCTTTTCCACCGGCTCAACTTTGCCGATGTGCCACTCTCTAAGAACATTAGACTTCCTACCGTTTTGTAGCTTATACTTCCCCACACTTCCTGACCCACGCCGCTTAATTTATTTCCTCAGCCCGATAGCATGTTGCCATTTTTCTGTTGTCCATCGACTTGTGTCTTTAAGCTGTACCCTTATCGTCACTGGATGACGAACACGAAAATACTAATAGGCGATGGAAATCATTCATAGCCCAGCTGCAGACCTTGATTGCAGACAATTCGACAGAGGTGCCTCGAGCCACCTGCGTACAGATGTTCACAGTGAGGAGTCGAACAAGAAAATGGATTACAGAACGTAACATCGCTTGGTTTCAATATAAAACGAACCGGACCGACGAACACTGGGAGTCGTACCGAAAGTTGCGGAATAAAGTCACGTCACTAATCAAGGAAGACAAACTACAACAGCAATTCAAATTGATGACTAGGATGGAGAAAAACCCCAAACTATTGTATCAATTCGTGAATGCGCAGGCTAAAGTTAAACCAGGTATATCTGCCATAAAGACAGAATCGGGAATGACTGCAAATGCGTTTGAAACAGCTAATGCCCTTGCCACATTTTATGCTTCCGTGTTTTCTCCTGAAGATACCCGCGCTCCTATACAAACTGTGGAGGTACTAACGGACGAAACTTTATCGGACGTGCATATTGATCGGGCTAACATTGTCAAACACCTTCGCGGCTTACAGGTACACACTTCACCTGGTGGGGATGGCGTTACACCACTGCTTCTGCGCCACTGCGCTGAACCACTTAGCTATCCTCTGGCTAAACTGTTCGCTAGTTCTCTGGAAGAAGGGTTGGTACCAGAGGATTGGAAATGCGGGATAATAGCCCCCATATTCAAAGGAGGTATCAGAACGTGTGCATCTAACTACAGACCTGTCACTCTTCTCCCAGTAATATCAAAAGTAATGGAACGAATTATAGCAGAAGCCCTGAAATCGCACCTTGAAATTCACTCCTTGTTGAGCGATAAACAACACGGATTTCGACAGAATCGTTCTTGTTTATCCAATCTCCTCGTGACACTCGATGACTGGACACGAGCAGTCGATGCGGGAGTTACTGTACATGCCTGTTACTTGGATATATCCAAAGCCTTTGATCGAGTCGATCACAGTATCCTTCTTCGGAAACTTGAAATGTATGGCGTGACGGGAAATCTGTTGAGCTGGCTGAAAGACTATTTGAGTGACCGTTCGGTCCAAGTTCGTGTCGATGGAGCGTTTTCCGATAAAATTGCCGCCACAAGTGGTGTCCCTCAGGGTTCGGTTCTTGGTCCAATTTTGTTCCTGGTATACATGAATGACCTGCCGAAACTTCTGCAGTGCAAAACCGTACTTTTTGCTGATGACATAAAAATCTGGTCTGAAATTCATGGAAAGGCTGATTGTGATGCGCTACAGCAAGATCTGCAAAGAATCGACGAATGGTCCATCCAAAACCGGCTGCCGCTGAATTTCCAGAAATGCAAACTCATAAATCTGGGGAAGAGCTACCACTTCCCATACAAACTGGGATCCAATGAACTGGAATGGGTGGCTGAGGAAAAAGACCTCGGCGTCTGGATTTCTAGCAACCTGAAGCCGAGTAAACACTGTCTATCAGTATATCGCAAGACCTCGGCACTGCTCGGGATGCTTAGGAGAATATTTTATCGTTTTACGCCTGAAATTCTCCCTATTATCATGAACACATATCTCCGGCCGACAATGGAATACGCGATCCAAGCCTGGTCTCCATGGCTGCAAAAGGATACACAACTGCTAGAGCGTATCTACCACCGCGCGACCAAGCTGGTCATTGGCCTCCGAAACGTTCCCTACAGTGAAAGGCTACGTAAACTCGATTTGTTTGATTTAACTTATCGGCGTATACGAGGAGACCTCATCCTGATGTTCAAGATAATAAACACCCCTAATCACCCTTTAAAACATTTGTTTACAGTTAATTTGACCCGACAGACTCGACGGAATCCATTAACTGTCGGCGCTACTTTTTTTCAGTCCGCGTATCCCTCACGTGGAACAAACTACCAACGTCTGTTGTGGATTGTGGTAACCTCGAGACTTTCAAACATTCGCTTGACGAATACATAAGATCTCACCCAACTTCCCTCATCAACATTTGAGATGCAGATTACAAACAATAGAACATATATGTCATATCATTCCGTTTATCTGTATACAAACACACACACCAATATCCTTTGGTCATTGTAAAGCAAAATGCTTTTTAGACCAATATAACCTTGATTTACCTTGATCTACTTTACAAACCAAACAATAGAACATATATGTCATATCATTCCGTTTATCTGTATACATACACACACACCAATATCCTTTGGTCATTGTAAAATGCTTTTTTACCTTGATTTACCTTGATCTACCTTTACAATACAAAGCCTGCTACAAATCGATGCAATTGACATCGGGTGACCTCGAATTTACGTGGTGTTTACCGTAGGACACGTGGATTCATCTCGGATCTCATAACTACTCTGCTGTTTTGGGATCATTTTAATCTGGCTAAGACTGGAATGCCAACGGGATTAAAGTAATAAAAAGCCGTACCTATTCAATATTGTAGTAGCGACCG